CTTGGTGGAGAATAGGTAGTGGTGGAGGAAAATGAGTTGGGGAGTGGAGAATGGTGGGCCTGTGTCATAGGCTTCGAAATGCTACTCTGAGTATTTTGTTGACGGCGAAATGCAAAGCAGTGCTTCTCGTGTTTGTCGAGCAGTAGTGAAGTGCAACTTGGAGTTAGGGCTCTTCAATTCGATGGTGTAGGAGGTTGTTCATGAACTTACCGTACAATGGCCTCACGAGTTTCACTGTAGGCAGTTTACACATAATGACAGGTAAATGTAGTTCGGAGTTGTCATTTGGCGCAGACACAGAGAAGGGTTAAGGAGCGCACCACAGTTAGCTTCGCGCACCCAGTTCCTTGCTGCAATCATGTGCGTATAGCTTTGACAGCATCTTCGAATGGGTCTCACCAGTCAACAAAATTAGCACTCAAAGTTCACCTCGCCATACCTCTCGGCTAGCAGAAGTGGCGCCTAGCAACCAACTGCAAGCCTACAACAGGCAATTTACAATCCCACACCTTGTCACTTTTCTTGCTTTTACGTATAAAGTGACACTTTAATTTGCTAAAGCAGAATTAACCGTGCAGTGTTAGGCTGTTCTGAAAAAATCTGAGATTGCTACGTGCAGAAGTTTGAAAATGTGACTCATAATAAGAAGATCATGAAACCACGATGGCGATCTCCATTTGCAAGGCGACAGTGCACCGTTGCAGTCTAATGTGCAACCATCTCAGCGACTGCAACACTCACAGGCGTGTTTGGGAATGAAGGGCAGACATCTGGGTCATGAACTTTTGAGCTATTAAGGCGAGAATAATGTGTTGGAGACAGCACGTTTTAAACACGAATCCATTTCTCTCATGTCGGGTGAATGGAGAGGCATTGTGGATGCTTCTCGATGCGACAATCGAAGTTTGTGTCAGTTATTTCGGCTTGATTTACTTTTGACCCGGTTCGAACTGTGCATTCGAGAATCGCACCATTCAACACTATTACAGGCTTGGCTACGCTCTCCAGTGGGAGGCTTCTGAACGCGTCCATGCATTCACATCGGTCGTACATGTCCATAGTGGCGGAAGAGCACCATGGTGCAGCAGCAGCAGCAGCAACAGCAGCAGCAGCAGCAGCAGCAGCAGACACTCAACTACCTACTGTATTGGCTCAGTCCACACCAATGCGTGCAAATTCAGCCTGCCTAAATGCAATCGGCCTCGATTAATCCCCATCGCTCAATCAAACCAAAGGCTTCCTTCCTTCCTGATGTCCAATGACATCAGCCATTTGTAAAGAAAGGCCACCTTGACTACAATTGGTGCGGTTTTTGCCATGATTTCCCGTGGTCATGGCAGCTATCTGCTTCCCTTCACTTTGACCTTCATTGCCTCCCAACTGTCATCTGTATACTCTAGCAACAAAGGTCCAAGAATCGTGGACATTAACACCAACTCCAACTTCTCCATCTGCACTGGATGCAGTCTGTTTCCTAGGCAAAATAATTAAGTCCACCTTTCATGGTGGAAAGGCTAATTATGAGGAACTTGGATCTGCCAACGCGATACTTCCCCCTTGGCGTTTGATTTTGTCTGTGAACGCTGCACGACGCACAACTGCGCAAAATAAAGTCGTCAAAACACATTGTTCTAAAGTGATCCAAAGTGTTCTACGTTTCGGTCTGCCTGATGAAGTTGTGCCAACGAAATTTTCATATTTTCCGGCTAATCCCTTGCAGCTATCTTAACACATGCAGCTGTAACTTATTCTGTCTGCACAACATGATACGACCTTCTAAGTCCACGCCAGGTTGACCTACTGACCCTGACCGATGCGCTGCAGATGGTGATGTGTGAGAGAGCAATGAACGCTTGACTGCAGAAACCTGTCTCACTACTGCTTTTCACAGCAATAGTCATTGCAACTGAGATGGCATAGGATGAAGACACATAGATTGCGTGATTAACTGATAATCAGCAGTTGGTTTTCGTGCCTTCTCTATAACCCCACTTACGAGTGTTATTCAGTGCCTTTGAAGCACTGAAATTAAGACTGATTTCCAAATCTAGCGGTGCCACTATGGACACGAAGTTGAAGGGTCTGAGAAGAAGGCGCAGTTTGGAAGGTGGTATATCCAGTCGCAAAACGCCTGTTTTAAGTGGTCGGCAATGAAACTATTCCCGACTTTCCGAATGTGGGGCTTGTCCTAAAACACCCACTTAAACAGACCCATCTCACATGCATGAAAGCGGGGTTGAAGAAAAGAAATGGGACCCAAAGCAAATGTTGAAAACGTTGACGGTTTACAGTGATTTGTCTCACAAAGATGCCACAGTTTGCGTTGCATGAAATTTGTGTGACTGTAGTAGGACGTGTGAGGCTCCTTCGAGTTAGGTGTGAGAGAACAACCGTTGGGAGGCAGAACATGGTTAGCACTAGTAACAATTCAGAACTTGAGTTTAAGCACATTTGGAATGATAATGTTATGCAACGTTCACACAAATAGAGCGCAACTTGTCAGAGGCGATGTCCTCGATTGCCACCGCTGTTCCTCATTGCTGCTACACTCACATATCTGTACAATTTTACCATCGTTTCAGCTTTGACGACAACAAGCGACTTTGTTTAGAACCGAAGGGAACAATCTCGATGACGGGAATTTGAGCTGCGGCATCGATGCGGTTGCTCATGAAGGCGCCACCGTTTGTGCTTCGTAGGGTTAATCGCGAAATTCAATTCGAACGCTGCACATGTGGAGTGTGGGCATCCTTCCCAGGACAGGCTCGGATATTCTAGGTGTACATCCACCCTCGTTAACTGCATAGTCCTGACTACTAACTAATCACCAAACTACCCTCCTTCCACGAAAGCTGAGGTTAAGGACGAAGAGAGGAGAGAGGAAGGTGCTAGAACAATGATGTGTCATTGGCTTCCGTTTGGCG